TTCTAGTTTTTTAAAAAAAGATTATATTCTAAGTTCAATATTTTATTGCGTTAATTTTCATGCTTATAAAGACAATAATTCTGTAATGAAAGACAATTTTTTGAGTTTTATGAAATCAATCAGCAATTGGCCAATTTTTAGGAAGAAAGGATTTTCTTCTTGAATTGTTCTGTATCTCCAGGCTTTTCCCTTTAAGTGGTGAGTCGAATCCAACTCTGTATCTTAAGGAAGTTGCCTACGAGTGGTGAACACCGAGACTGGATAATCATCTAGTCTTTTTCTGAATTCTGTCTAAGGTGCTGTGAATTTTCTAGCATCAGATTTTCTGTGAATTTTTGGCATCAGTTTGTTTTTGTGAATTTTCCGGCATCAGAAAACAATGAATAGGCACATGAATTATATCTAATCGATGTCAATGCCTATAAAGTGATTGGTGAAATGCAATGAGAATGAAAAGTTAAAATTTTTTTTTTTCATTAAATGAGCACTTGAATGGTGAATGAGCATGATTCGAGCGCTCGTGGCCATTGAGCCTCTTCCAAGAAACCCAATAAAAACTTGTAATAATCGATGCAATTATTTCCATATAATCAACAACGAACTCTAACCCAATCATATTATTGCTTAAATTCAAAAAAATAGCACTATATTGCATAAAATAATCAAAACCTTAACAGGCCAAAATTTTAAAAAATTGGGGAAAATCAAAAATTTACCTTGGGTTTTGATGAATTGTTTGTTTGTAATGATCCTTCACGTATTGTATAATGTGAATTTACCAAGTTTTATCAAGACTCACCGAACATTCCTAGAAAAAGAGGTTATGTTGTCAAGTAAACCATCATTTCAGTCATGTGACTAACCTGATTAATTAAAAACCTAACATGATCAGTGACATTTGACTTATTGTTCCTAACCGAGAGTTTGCAATACCTAGGTCTTATGTGACTAACTCACCATAGTTGTAACATGTTAAAAAAAAAAAAAAAAAAAAAACCCTCAGTGCAACACTAGGTTTCTAGAAGAGGTAGCAAATTGCGAACTTATTTCACTATAACCTAAGCCTTTTCTATTTTCAGCTGGTTTGTTTAACCCTAAGATGTTGTCAAGCTTCTTAGATCCACCAGAAAAATAGTGAAGTTGTGCATTGGAAGATCACTTACAATAGGCTTAACCTTGTTTTCTGGGGACTCTTTCACAATCTTTAACTCATTGACACTTCAAGTTGACTCCATAAGTTTGACCTCTAGTATCTCAGTTTCTAACTGAAGTCATGCAATTTCTTGAGGGCAGACCTATTCAGCATCTTCAATTTAAGACTCTCCTCAAGCAGCTAGTCATATGCCTCTTGGATATCATCTTCATCTTCTGATTTTTCCTATAAAGAATCAAATTGCTCTACATCCTCAACTTTCCCATCCTCTTTCACATTTTCACTCTTAATTATAGAAGTAAAAGCCATATAGTTCAAAAACTCATCAGAATTGGAATTCTCACCTTGATCATTGGAGTTAGACTCATTATCAATTAAAGTGACATTCATAGCCTTACCTAGGACTTTCTTATAACTTGGGCACTCAACTTTAGTATGTCCAAACCTTGACACTCATGACATCTAACAGATTGAAGCATCTTCTTGGCATCCCTGGTATCATTCTCTCTTTCATCGTTCCTATATTTACTATAGTCAACCTCAAACTTCTCAAAAGTCTCTTATCATTCCTAAAAAACTTCTTGAATTTCATAACAAAATAAATTACTTCCTCATCTTTTAGTGTGTCATCATTAGTCTTATCACTAGTCTTTTCCTTAACAAAGTTGAGGGCCAGAGACTTGTTTCTCTTAGATTAAGGTAGCTAAGCTCGTAGGTATGGAAAGATTCTACATGTTATTCTATCTTAACCAGATCTAAGTATTTGCTTTCCTTAATCACCATGAACTTAGGTATAAACCTTTCGGGTAGAAATCTTAGAACTTTTCCAATAATTTTGGTCTCTATAATTCATTCTCCTGTATTGAAACTAGAATTCACTAAATCATTCAGTTTAGCATAGAACTCATCAAAAGAATTATCACCCTTCATTAAAATTATCTCAAAGCTAGTGGTCAACATTTGTAGCTTAGAATTTTTCACGATCTTAGTTCCTTTGTGTGTGGTTTTTAAAATATTTCAAACTTACTTATCAGTTTCACACATTGACACAGGTTTAAATTCTTCAAATGATATAGCCATAAAGATGGCATTTACTCCTTCACTATTTCAATTACACTCAACTAATTCGTCCTTAGTCCACATAAAAACCTCTGTAGGTATCACAACACCACCAATGGTTGTAGATGGGGTTGTCCAACCCTTTTCTACAATTACCCAAACTCTGTCATCCATGGATTTCAAGAAAGCTCTTATCCTAACCTTCCAGTAAGCATATTTGCTTCCATTAAAATATGGATGAATAGATAATGACGGACTCATCTAGACAACATGTGTTAAGAATCGAAACAAGGCTCTGATACCATTTGTAATAAACAAGTTCGACCTAACAAACACCTAGATGGGGTGAATAGGTGTAATATGTATAATTAAAAATTTACCAATAATAACTTACAACAAGTCACAAATTATTAGTTCTAGATAAATTAAGAATAATTTAAACCGCGGCAATCAATCAAGTAAAACTATCAAAGTAGTAAGATAAAGAACACCGAGAATCATTTACGAAGGAAAAATCATTGAAGAACTCTTTAAAAAAAAAAAAGAAAAAAAAAACTCTGGCCACACGTGCCAATAAATAATCTATTATAAAAGATACACAATGAAACATTAGTAGACTCTAACCTCCTAACCTGTAATCATCGAAGAACTCCTCGATTGTGTACTCCAACACCAGCCCCAGAACTTCTAGGCTTCTTTTCTCCTTGTGGATCACCAAAAATGAACTTTTCTTCACAAACCGAAACTCCGATTACCCCTCTCTAAATCTTCAAAAATCTGAAAGATATTTGGTAGAGGTTTGTTAGTGTTTTTGATCTTTTGGAATTTTGTTGTTTTGATCTTGTGGTTAAGGCATGAGAAATATAGAATCAATATTTGATCTTCAACAGGATGTGCTCTTTAATGAATAATGGTCAACGCCCTTTTAGGACAAAATTTGGTTGGGTATATATGTCTGAGCTACATTATTTTCATAAGAATGTATTTTTGAATAGTGTATTGATGAAAAATGTGTGATAAAAAAAATAAGAAAAAATTTTGGATTTGCATGTAATATTATTTTATTGAAGAATGTGTGGTTAAAATGATGTTAAATTATTGTTTAAGAATGCATTTTTTTTTTTTGAAAAAAAACGTGGATCAAATAGAGTATTAAAGAGTTATGGATTGTTCTGGATTGCAAAAAATCTGAAAATTGGAATTAGGTTTTGCTCGGATGACACGATCGCTCGAGCGTCCCTTAGGCATCAAGTGGTCAAGTTCTACTAAAACCATTCGAGCGACTCACTTGATAGTCTTCAAGCATTTTTTGTCTTGACTTGATCTTTTTTAATGGACTTTTATTCCTTTGAAAGACAATTGCAATACCCGACAACTTAATCCTAAATATAATTCGATAAAATGATTTTTTGGACACTGAACTTTGACAATACACTTTAGACCTAAAAATTATGAATTATATTTGGCTTCATCAAGAATTTCTTATTCGTACACTAAGCACTACAAAAAAATTGTGATTCCTTGACAAGATTTTTTGCGACATACAGAAAGTTGCGCAATAAGTGATTTAACACAATACATTTTTAAAGTTTGTCGCAAAGATTATAATGAAAAAAATAAGTAACAAAAAATATAACTTGATATAAAAAGTTGTGAAATGTGAGAAGTAGCGACAAATAATAAAAAATGTCACCAAAAAATAAGGGACGCTAGGCGCCAAAATATTTTTGGTGGGAAAATTATAACGTCAAAATTTTAATTTCTTGCTACAAAATATTTGTGGTGCAATGGGGTCTACTTTTTGTGACAAGAAATATTTGCTGCTAAAAATTCTACAATTAGAGGAAAAATTGTTATAAGAAAAATATGTTTTTTTTCAACGGGCAAAAAATGTTGCAGTAGGTGTTTTACAATACTCACTCATATATTTTAAGCTCTAATTTTATCGTAGAGCAGAAGGGTACGACAACATGCAATGCATGCTGTAGAAGCTCTCAAATGTATGTTGCTGTTAAGTTTTTGCGACGTACCTCGTCCGTTGCTGTAATTATATTTCGTGACACTCTTTACTTGTTATCTAAACTTCTTTTGGCAACATTTTTTGTTTCTTTTTTGAAACAAATGTTTATGTTTTCTTTTGGCTAAATTTTGATATCTAATATAAATTTTTTTAATCTTACACTATTGAAAAATGAGGCAACATTGATGAAATTTTTAGAGACATCTTCCTTGCAATTACAAATAGATTAACAACAAATTAGTAACGAATTATTAGTTTATCAATTTTTAAAATTATATATTTAATTACCGACTGAATTACCAACGTAAGCTTTTCGTTTTGTAGAATTCCAATGCTAGTCCATTGGTAAAAAAATAAAAAATAAATTAAATATATTTATCAACGAATTTCCCAATGAATGTTTTTGTTGGAAACTAAATAAAGGTGTAAAATAATTGGATAATGCTGTGTGTACACACAGCCTTAGGTCCACGAATATTTTATTACATGTGGACCCTCCTCCATGTGAAGGGGGTGTAAACTTGTATATACACCATTGTGTACACACAGCACAACCCAAAATAATTACAAACACAGAAAATTTGTAGCTAAACTTTTTAAGTAAAAGTAAAAAAAATTATTCAATAGTCATCAATGGGACAAAAAATCGGTAGAAATATTGGTAAAAATATTTAAAAATTAATAAAAATTTAGAGGAAAGTTTGAATAACCAATTTTTACAATATGCAATTTCCCTCCTCCTTAAATTTTCGCTTCCCACTAGAAATTTTTCCACTCCCTCTAAAACAAAAATCTTCACATTCCACTCAAATCAAATGCTGAGGCCCTAAACCCGAATGGCAGACCAAAGGGATCTCTCTCATCAAATGTCAGTGCTGAAGCCCTAAGCCCGCCGCCAACACCATCAAATCTCCCACGCCAGTAGATTATTAGTAATGGAGTGAAGCATTTTGCAGTAAATTTTGGTTTCGAAAGTTTCGGCCGAGCCCCAGGAGTAGAAAAAAATTGTGTTTCTCCCAGAAGCCCCTCTAAATGTGAGGGTTCACTATTATGCTATCTTACTCTTCATGTAGTGTTATTTTCTTCATTTTGTGGAACTCCTTATTCAAGAGATGTAGCTCTAATTAGATTCCTTTTTAGTGGTTGTGGTTGGGGAAGTTGGTGGAATTAAGAATGAAGGTAACATTTGTTATTTGGTAGCGTGGCGTGTTGCTTCCTTTTGATATTATTGGCCTTCTGCTTTCATTTTTTAATTCTGCATATGTTCATAAATTTCTCTTCAAGGCATGTCTGAGTAATTTAATTCTGTTACTACTAGGGATATTTATCATAGTTGTTTGTAATTTTTGTATTAAATATTGTCAAATATGTGGAAAGATGATTTATCATGCCGTTTTTACGATATTAAAAATAGGGGCATCAAGTATTAATGTTATTGCCGTTCAGGCCAAAATTCATCTTCCCTTTGCTCACCTGTAGTTGGTTCAAAATCTTTCCACTAAGGTATCTTTTGCTTAGTTTTCTAAGCATTATATCTATGCCCTTCATCCATGAATGTAAAATATCCTTCCATGATATTCTCTGGGTCAAGGCCAATATTTAAAAAGGTTGAATCCCAATCTTAAGGGCTCCCATCGCCTTGCCCCTAAAGTTTTGTGACGGAGGTAAATCGCGGAATATGTCACAGTAGGCAAAGGAAGAAGAGCTGCATGTACACTGCGTCTACAAGGAATCCAATTTCATGTCTCAAAAATCAAATCCTCCCAATGCGACTACCAGCAAAGGGTGAAATAACTTTACTTCTGTCCTTTGCATCACTGGGCTATGCCTCGCGGGGCGGGTCAAGGCCAATATTTAGTTGTACATATGGTTGGTGATCATATGCCCAGCAATTTTGTGCCAAAATTTGTCTCAAATCTATGTAGAAGGAATGAATAATTTTACTTGTGGCATTGTATTTAAGGATAATAATTCTATACAAATATTGCATTATAATGTGCATCGTGTCATTTTCTAACTTTGATTGCGTGTTTAGCCTAACCAACCTGACAGGAATGAATTTGGAAAATGTCACATATGCTGAATTTCTTTAATGATGTCAACCATGTCTATTTTCCTACCAGTTCACATTCTAATTGAATGCTATGGTATCCTTGGTATTCAGCTCAATCAATTTATTGTATTTCTGCGATTGGAAAAAAGTATATATATTAAATTCCACCATACGATTGAAAATTACATAGGCAAAGTTATTTTTAAATAATTTTTTTGTATGTTGATGTTTATGAGAGTGAAATTAGGATTAAATTACTCAGTTTTCCTGAATATCACTTCAATATCTCAATGAAGTAATGTCGACAAGTTCAAAAGGTAGCTTGCATATGGAAATTTTATTGTCTTTCTAATTGGTTAGAAGTGATCTTCATAGAATTCACATGGAAGTTGATCTATTTTAGACTTGTTCTCCAAGAGTGGAATTGACAACCATGAAGAAATTGCTGGTGAAGGATAAAGAGTTCATTTTTGTGGCATTTCTCCTAATGACTTCTCCTTTAAGGACTCTTAACTTTATTACTAGAGAATCTTTACAAATAAACATAAAAAGGGGCTTGCTGGCAATCTACCAGTGAAGAAATTTTTCCCCAGGTCAATCGATCTAAGCTGAGTGAATTTGGAGAAATTAAAACCAGAAAATTTTGTATGATCTATGTGAATTCAGTGATTTACATGATAGATAGGAGTTGGTCCAAATCACAATCTGAATTCTATTACATGGTCTTATGTAGTAGGTTTATTTATGTTCAAATTCTCTATTGTCTAGTAGGTTATATGAACTTAATTAAAAAATTTCTCTCATAATGTAAGAATAACTAGTACATTGAGTAAAGTTTGATTTTCTAGTGGCAGAAATTAATGTCACTTAACAAAGGATGTACTCATTCCATAAATAAACTTGGTTTAGCTAATACATATACTTAGAACTATGTGCTTTACTTATAGTACTATTCTTTCGCCAATCTCTATGCCGAGTGATGTGACTTGATTATATTGCAAATTCTAATTATCATTGTAGGAATATCAAGCAAATACTTATGCAATGGATTGCTTTCCATGTGCAGAAATGTAATCCACTTGTTTCTCCATTGACAAAACAGTTATATTTACTCCTCAATGTGTTCACTCATACTTTATGTGGTCTCACTACAGTAATTAGGGCTCAATGTTTTCTTTGAACGATTAGCTAGATGCTAAGTAGAGATGGTTTGTCCTTTTTTCTTTTTACATTATTTGAACAGCGAGCAATTGGCCTTATAACTCTAGGTGTCTGTAGGTGAAGGCTTTCTTTTTAATTGATATATTTTTCTTATAGCTAACTATAACTACTTTTTTGTATGTTCGTTTGTGACTAACATTGTGAGGCATTTTCTTATAGGAAGGCTTATTTAACCAAAGAACAAATTGATTGTGAGTTGGAAGCATGTTTTGGAGTCAAGAATGTTGTTTGGGAGTTCTGTAAGTATTTTGTTATTTCTTCTATATTTTTAATTCTATTTTCTACTTTTCAAGTTTGATGAACCACCCCAATTAGTTGGACCTTAAAATTATCAGCTTTATACTTTACTTGTTTTAGTTTTAGAGGTAACTATCTATTTAATTAACAATAATGTATTTTGTAATTATTTATATTTGAATTATTGTATATTGAAGCATTCTTTTTATAGTCATGAGTTGTTTTTATGGGGATACATTTTCAAATAGAAGGTGAACAATCATCTATGAAGCTAAGAAAAGCTTAATTAAGGATAATCGGTGCGACAAATTAACTTGTCGTGCTTTTGATTTTTCTTGACATATATGCATTACGACATTATCGCTACAAATATCGTGTTACTAATTTGTATTTTTTGTGTCAAACAAAATAATTTTGTGATTTTGTTAATGCGATGAATGGTCATAAGTAGTCGCATAATATATTCCATGACTCAACATTCAAAACAAATGTTTTTCTCGTAAAAACTTAATTAGAATAATTTGTTGCGATAAACTGTCTTGTCGCCCTTTTGTTTTTTCATGACATATTTGTATTGCGACCACATTATGGCTACAAATATTGTGTTGCTGTTTCATATTTTTTTGCCTCGAACAAATAGTGTTGTGATTTGGTTAATATGATGAATGGTCGAAAGTTGTCGTAGAATAAATTTCATGACTCAACATTCGTAACAAACATATTTATGGCAAAAACTTTATTGGAATATTCTTTGTGACAAATTGACTTGTTGTCTTTTTAACTTTTTGCAAATTATATACATTGCGACGACATTATAGTTACAAATATTGTTTTTTCATTTCGTATTTTTTGCATCAAACAAATAGTGTTGCGATTTTGTTAATGCGGAAAATGGCCAAAATGTCATCATAGAATACATTCCATGACTCATATAATGAGAAAATACTCACAACAAATATATTGTCATCGATAAATTACTTTTGCAACAAAATCTCAATTGCGATACAATTCTTTGTCGCAAAAATAGTTATTTTTTATAGTGAAGGTTGCATTTGATTGTCAATATTTTTCATGAAAAATATGTTTTTTCCACTCAAATTCATATTTTTGTGCAGTTTAATTGACATTTTTTTTTCTTGAAATATATTTTCCTTCCTTTGGTCACGTGACTTTATTTTTCTCGAAATCAAGGAAAATATTTTCTTTATGGGGAGTGAGATTTTTATTTTTCAGGGAATTTACTCTCTTTCTCTTTTGCATCTATCAACTCTCTCTCATCTACTCACCAATAAAAATCATACAAATATAATATTTTCTAGATTGAAAATTAAATCAATTAAAGAAATTTAATTGATAATTTCGATGCAAATAAATTCTAGACAATTGAATGATCTAGAATTTATTTACTTATAGTACTATTCTTTCGCCAATCACTATGCCGAGTGATGTGGCTTGATTATATTGCAAATTCTAATTATCGTTATAGGAATATCAAGCAAATACTTATGCAATGGATTGCTTTCCATGTGCAGAAATGTAATCCACTTGTTTCTCCATTGACAAAACAGTTATATTTACTCCTCAATGTGTTCGCTCATACTTTATGTCGTCTCTCTACAATAATTGGGGCTTAATGTTTCATTGAACGATCAGCTAGATGCTAAGTAGAGATGGGTTGTCCTTTTTTCTTTTTACATTATTTGAACAGCGAGCAATTGGCCTTATAACTCTAGGGTGTTCATCAGTGAAGCCTTTCTTTTTAATTGATATATTTTTCTCATTGCTAACTATAACTACTTTTTTGTATGTTCTTTTGTGACTAACATTGTGGGGCATTTTCTTATAGGAAGGCTTATTTAACCAAAGAACAAATTGATTGTGAGTTGGAAGCAAGTTTTGGAGTCAAGAATGTTGTTTCGGAGTTCTGTGAGTATTTTGTTATTTCTTCTATATTTTTAATTCTATTTTCTACTTTTCAAGTTTGATGAACCACCCAAAGTAGTTGGACCTTGAAATTATTAGCATTATACAGACCTTCAGACGTGGTCCTCTCGATATCGTATTCTTTATTTTTTATTATTGCAGTTAAAATAAATGTATAGAATTATTTATTTTTCGCGTTAGAAGTCATTGTATGGGGTGACATTAGGTTTGGGGTAAACGTTGCTTGTTGCTAGACCTAAGAATTACATGTTAATTAATTGTCTTGAATTCTATGTGAATTTGTCACCAATTTTTTTACAACGATAGAATTGCATGTGACCTTAGGAAAATTTACTTGACTGTTCTCTGTGAATTATGTGTCAGTACTTTGCTTGTGGTCATTATTTGGTATTGTTCACATGTATAGGTCTAAGGCAAGTGCGAAATATAAAATATATTTTAACTGTGATAAAATTTGGGCATAATTGAAAGAGATTGTCCTAGGATGATAATAAAAGGAAAGATGAGGATAGAGACGATGCGAATGTGACTTTAGGGTCGAGTAGTAATCCTAATGATGTTTATTGAGAGAATAAACTTTGTTCTTGCATTGCATCTGTATATAATCATTTCTGCATGTATGTGGTCACTTAATTTTGTTGCAACGTTGGTATGTTACACTTTCAATATGTTTGATGTGTGTAATTATATGAATTAGAGTGATTTATTACTTTGTGTAATATGTTTACATGCATAGCGGGTTGAGTTTTGTGGTGTGCTCTGTTTGCTCTGTGAATGGTGTGAGGGTGTGGTAGTGAGAAGAAAGTTGGGCAACCGTTTCTCTCTTTTATCTTTGTGAGCCTGTGTGGTTTGTGAGATTATGTGAGGCAGTCATGTTAGGGTTACCTTCTTTATCTTTGTGAGCCTCGTTTGTGAGTGTTGTAAAGTAACTGACTCTTTCTTCGATTTTTCTTTGTGAGTGCCACCTTTGCCGTTTTCTTTGTGAATTTTTTGGAACTTTGGTGATTGGAGTAACCTTTGTGGTCACCGAAAGGTATTAATTTGTCATAGTGAGTTTGAAATGCATTAGTAGTGAGTTGGATGTCTTTTGATAAGGTGGAGTATAGATGCCTAGGGGTAGATGGTGGTTTATACCGGGGATGTGGAGTGTGACATTCGGATCACGAGTGGAGATGTGATCAAATGTCTAGAATCATTTATCTGGAAAGAGACCCTGATCAGGTCGAGTGTGAGAGAGGCACTTCTATCACTTCTGTTAGGTGGAGACCCATTATCCACGTAGGTTGGGAGAAGTGATGTGGTGATAGAGGATTATCCCGAGAACTTAGGATCTATTGTGACTTGCCAGTTAGACATGAGTTGAGTGAATAGTTTAGTAAGCATGATGGGCGATGAGAGGAGATATGTATTCTCAAGGTGTGAGCAACATGGAATGGGATAGGATAAGTGTGGTGAGATCTTCTCTTAGGGTCATTTATGCATGTGTTGCATATGTGGTTGATCGTGGTTTGATTGACTTGGTGTTAATCTATGGTTCTATGTGAACGTATTTTTTGAAAAGATCGGTGTGTGTTATCCTATAGTATATCGTCATCGCACGTGTATTTGCTCTTGATTGTTTACCATTAAATATTTGCTTCTACTTAGGTGTTTTTTACCTTAGCCCCAGTGAGTACATGGAACAGGTATGGTATGTGTTTCAAGTTAGAAATAGGAGGTAAGGTTTGTGATCCAATTTTATTGGCTACCTTGATTATGCAAGTGTTAACTGTGTGTTTTGATTGCTTGCAGATTTATTGGGTATCAAGGTGGAGATTTGTTGGGTTTTTGATACCCAATAAATCTCGAGCTATGATATTAACGTGGGTTAATATTATTTCATAAGCACAGGCCGATGAATGAAATAAGTCCAACAACCAAGTCCATGAGTTACACCCGGCCCAATTGTATTTCCTTATGGATAGCTTGAATCTTGGCCCGTTCACCCCTTTAATGGCCCAACTTAAAGCCTAACCCTAGAGTATATATTTGGCTATAACCCTAGCCACTTTCTATTGATGATTGTGTGATTTTGAGAGAAGAAAAAGTGAATCCCGACTGCCCCCCTTTGTGTGAGAAAAAAGGTCTCCATAAATGTCCAAAACCCTTATATAACGTGTGCAATTGGTGGTTCTTTCATAGTATACCCTTGTGGTGTCTTCTCCTAGCCTTTGTGGCCATAAATCATCATCCTTTCTTGTCCTACATAGGTAAGATTGAATAGCAACCAAGGTGAATCAATTGGTTGTGGTTTGGAGCCGATTGGACTGGTTGTTGGTTGAGAAAGGTGCGTTGGACTGAGCCCGAAAATCACCGATTTGAAGATCTTTCAAGAGAGCTTCCACAACAATTGGTATCAGAGTTTCAAGGTGGAGATTGTTGGATTTTTTGATACCCAGTAATCCGGACAATGATTTAAAATAGTTGTCGAATTATTTATCGACACCATGGATTTGGCTCGGCTCGGAGATGAACTACACTTTTGGGTGGCTCGAGTTTGGGTTGAATGATTATTTGGTTAGTTAGATCATTTAGTGATTAATATGGAGTTGAAAATTGGTCCATTCATTTAGGTTAATTGGTAGCCCTCTTAGTGAACCCTAGGCCCATATATATATATATATATATATATATATATGTATGTATATATATATATATATATATGTATGTATATATATATATATATATATGTATATATATATATATATATATATATATATATATATGTATGTATGTATGTATGTATGTATCTCCCAGCCGTTTTTGGTGTGTGTGTGTTGTAGCAATGAAGAGGAGAGTTGAGAGAAGAGAGGCAGCCGAGAGAGAGGGAAGTCATGTGAGGTTGTGAGTAAGATTCAACCATTGTAATATCTTCTTCTTCCTCTCCATACCTTTTTGGATTGCTAACACCACCACCCTTTTCCGTTATAGGGTTTGAGAGAGTTTGAGCTGTCCAAAGTGAAGGCGAAAGTCTTGGGTCAAGTCGAGGTAAACCAATATTCGTTTGATTGTTTTCTGAGCTTGGAATCAAGATTTATCGAGAGAGAGAGGGAAGTCATGTGAGGTTGTGAGTAAGATTCAACCATTGTAATATCTTCTTCTTCCTCTCCATACCTTTGTGGATTGCTAACACTACTACCCTTCTCCTTTGTGGGGTTCGAGAGAGCTTGGGCAATCCAAAATGAAGGCGAAAGTCTCGGGTCGAGCCAAGGTAAACAGGTGCTCGTTTGATTGTTTTTTGAGCCCGGAATCAAAATTTATCGAGGGATTTCTGTTACATGCTATAAATCCAACAATTGAAGAGTTTGGTTCTAGGTTGTCAATTGATATGATTTATTGGTTATCTAACGGATTTGAATATTCATTGGAGACTTGTGAGTTCAAAGACAAAATACCCTGAGATCATTTGAAATCAATTGATTGCTCTGTTTTCCTTATATCTATATTAACCGCGATTTCTTATTTATAATCGGACAATAGTAGTTCATCTATTGAAACTATTCTTCATTGTGTGGGGACACAGAAAGATCTTCTAGTAAGAAAAAGGTCTATAAACACATAGAAAGTGGAACAGATGAAGATTATGGAGAAAGATCTTACTGTTATGGTTGAAGAAGTGGAGAGACTCTGTGATGAGGTTTTAAATGCTAAGAAGAAGGCATACTGTAATCAGTTTCAAAATCCTTCATAATGGCAGTACATACATGAATCCAAATCCTTCATATCTACATTCGATGAACGTAAATGTCGGGTTTGTGGACTATGGTAGACCTTATTACATTGGTGGTGGAGTAGTGGGAAATGGAATGATTCCCCGGCCATAAATCTTGCTTGGGGATGACCATATGATATGTCTCATACTCTAAAAGTGAATGTTCACCAAAAACACCTGCCGGTGATACTTCCCCAATAGTTCATTTGGACTCGATTTAAATTCTTTCTTTTGTTTAGTGAATGGTAGATTCTTGTAGTTCCTCACAACTTTTTTCTTAGTATCAAACTATGCAAAGATTAACATTGTTGATTTTAAATGTATTCCTGGTTTTACTTGCCATTTTATTTTTTCTCTATTTACTTAGTTTTGTATTATTTGCTGGGTTGTTCTTGATGGAACATTTCTTGAAGAAAGAAATTTGTTTTGCACTTTATAAGATGCCATTAAAATTCTTCTATTGTATATCAACTTACCTTTTAGTAAATCTTATTAATTTTTGAAAGAAATACGATGGTTGCCAGCCACAATTTTCTGAAATAATTCACTAAAAAGCAACAAAAATGTCGAACTAAAACATCCATTTCAATGCAAACTCTCACCTTAGGAAAGCACTTACCCGTGAAATTACATAGTTGATCATGCAGGTTGAGGGCATTGTAGGTGATGCACTTAATGGAACTGTGGAGTGCAACAAGTGTAAACGGATTACATGTAAAAAGGAATTATTATCATTTTTTATTTTATTTTATTTTTAGCTGTCCCAATTCAAATTCCATTACAAGCATCGAACAACAGAGGAAGGTAGTTCAATTGGTTCCAGCAAAACACCATAATCAACATAGACCGCCAATGAAATAACAAAAGAATAAAGGAAAAATGACTAATGTTTCTTTTTTCATCTTGCTCCCTTTTGCCTCTTGAACATGAATGTGGAGTTCTCTACGGAAAAGAGACTGTTCCCAATTGACAAACATCCTCAATTTTGTTATAAGTAATTTTTGGCTATTTTGATTTCCACAACATGATATATCTCTCGTGTAGCTTTCTATTCTGTATTGAAATGATCGCAAAATTGTTGGATTTTTTATACCCAATAAATCCCGAGTTATGATTTTAACGTTGGATAATATATTTCATAGGCCTAGACCGATGAATGAAATAAGTTCAACAACCAATTCCATAGGCTCTGCCCGATCCAATTGTATTCCTCTTGAATGGTTTG